ACGGGAGTGGGGAATTCAAAATGTGCATCGACTACCGGGGTCTCAACAAGATCACTAGGAAGAGCACAGAGCCACTTCCTAGGATCGACGACGTTCTGGATATGGTCTAGGGCTGCACCATCTTCAGCAAAGTCGACCTCAAATTTGGCTATCACCAGATTTAGATGGCAGAGGAGGACGTCCACAAGACGACCTTCAAAACCAGGTATGGTACTTATGAGTACCTAGTGATGCCATTTGGACTCTGCAATACACCAGGTACATTCCAGACTGAGATGCACCGCATATTCAGGCCGTACCTGGATAAGTTTATGGTTGTCTACCTGGATGATATCCTGGTATTCAGCAAAACTACCAGGGAACATGCGGAGCACCTGACTCTAGTCCTTCAGTCGTTACGTGACAACCAGTACAAGATCAACAGGGAGAAATCCTCTTTTGGAGTTCCCTCTATTATCTACCTGGGTCATGTAATCTCTGGAGATGGTTTGGCCCCTGAAGCAGCCAAGGTTGCTGTTATTCAGGATTGGCCACAGCCTCAGACAGTGAGAGATGTCCGGTCATTCTTGGGTCTGGCCTCCTACTACAGAAAGTTCGTCAGAAACTTTTCTGCTGTGGCTGCACCCCTGACTAACCTCACGAAGAAAGACACTCCCTTTCTTTGGTCCCTCCACTGTCAGATGGCCTTTGCACGACTCAAACAGGCCTTGACTCGTGCACCTGTTCTGAAGTTGCCTGACCCCACTCTGCCATTTGTTCTCACCACTGACGCCAGTCAGTATGGCATTGGGGCAGTCCTTCAGCAGGATGATGGTAATGGTCTTTAGACCTGTAGAGTTTATGAGTAAGAAGATCAAAACTCAGAAGCTTCAGGACTCTCCTACGAGAAAGAGCTTTATGCTCTGGTCAGTGCCCTGAAACATTGGAAGCACTTTCTCCTGGGCAGACACTTCAATATTTTTTCTGATCATGCCACTTTGCAGTGGTTGAAGTCCCGGGGAGAGTTAAATGATAAGTTGGCACGTTATTTTCAGTTCATTGATCTGTTTGACTTTGAACTGAAGCATAAGAAGGGTTGCTACAACAAAGTAGCTGACGCCATCTCTCATAGGCCTGACTCTTTTGCGCTGATCTCCTCTACTCATTCCTTTGGAGAGGAGGTTCGTCAGACCATTGCTCGTTCACTGCCTCAGGATCCGACTTATGGACCCATTGTCAGGAATCTGCAAGCAGATCCCAACTCTGAACCCGACTATGCCCTGAGTCCAGGTCTGCTGTATACCTACAGCAGAGGAGAGGAGCGCTTGTGCATCCCTGAGGATCAGCAGATGCGGACACTGCTGATGTCAGAGTGCCACGACGCGCGTGGACACTTTGGGTTCTTAAAGTCGTATGCAGCCCTGTCGCAGCGCTTCTTCTGGAAGGAGATGCGGAGTGATATGCTGCGCTATGTGGATACCTGTGAGCTCTGCCAAAGGAACAAGGTTCAGTAAACCTCCTTTGGGATTGCTCAAACCTTTGCCCATACCTGATGGTCCTGCCCAGTCTGTATCCATTGATTTTACAGACTTAGGCAAGACTACCCCTCGTGGCATGCATCAGGTCATGGTCTGCGTGGACAGGTTTTCCAAATACGCAGAGTTCATCCCCTTGCCAGAGGTAGCCAGGGTACCGGCTGTGAGAGCAGCCTTTTCTGAGAGGTGGGTCACACACCATGGACCGCCCACCTCTATTGTTAGTGATCGAGACCCCAGATTCTGTAGCGATGAGTGGCAGTCCTACTGCAAGGACTATCTGCACTCACGCCTGGACATGACTTCTGGTCGTCATCATGAAGCCAATGGATTGGCTGAAGTGATGAACCAAGTCCTGTTCCAGCTGCTACGTCCTGTGATCTTTCCAGATCAGCAGGACTGGGATCTCCACCTTGCGAGGGCACAGCTCATGTATAACATGTTTGTCCACTCCTCGACAGGGTTCAGTCCCTACCGACTACATTGGGGACGTGAACCACGACAGCCTCTCGATGATATCATCGATAAGGCTAAGCGTGACCTTACCACAGGCACCGCAGAGTTCGCCAGACACTATCGTCTGGATGTGGAAAGAGCCCGGGCGAACTTGTTCAAGGCCCAAAAGGCCATGATTGAACAAGCCAACCGCTACAGGCGGCCTTCCCCCATCCGTACTGAGTTGTCGAGGGAGGAGGATATTTCTCCCAAGCTGTTGCCGCGCTACCTGGGTCCGTGGCAGGTCCTAGATACAGTGGGCGCTGACCCCTTCGGTCCGTCTTATGTCATCGACGTCCCGCTGCATCTACGCACCTATCCGGTCTTCCATGCATCCAAGCTGTTGCCTTTCATGCCAGCTGATGCATTCCTTGACCGGCCTCCTCAATGGGGCCCACCAATCCCTGGTAAGGGATATGATGTGGTGGCCATTGCAGATGAGTGGGGCATTGGCCCCGACTGGCAGTATCTTGTCAGGTTTGCATTCCAGCCTCCTTCTGAGAACCGATGGTTCTACATAAGAGACCTGATCAAGACAGCAAAGTCTGTAGTTCTGCGGTATGAGGCGGCTCAGAAGGGTGATCTTCGCCGCTCACCTCGTCTGCACCCCTAGCTCGGAGGTCCTCGCTCCCGGGGAGGGTAAGCTTGCAATGACTTGCTGATTTCTGCTGCCGAGTTTGTCTGCGAGGCTGTACACTAACCGTAGGGTTAGATTCGCAATTTTTGTTTGGCTGAGGGCTAACCGAGTGACTTGCCTGTGGGGAAATTTGCGAGGGGCAGACCTGTAATTCTGAGGGACTACAGGCCCTAAACTAACCGAATCCCTACTACTACCCTAACTGCCTATAGCAGGCCCGGGCTACCCTAGGACAGACAGGCCCTAAGCGGCCTATACTGGTATACGGTCCTATAGCCTATAGCCGGGTCCGGTAGGGGTCGAGAGGCCGAGAAACAGCAACGGTACCGGTAGGTCCAGTCAGTCCAGTTTCGGTCTAGGCTAGTGTAGGAATCTATAAGTCTTGGAGGGAAACTGATAGGGGGACTTTTGGCTTTCATTTTTCGCATGCAGCGTTGGTGGCCAACCAAGTTGAGCAGCGCTGAATGTCTGCAGTGGCACCGGAGACATCAGCCGTGAGTGGAGCAGCCATAGCCCGCCATCTGAGACAGCCATAGCTGGGGCTGTACTCAGCGCATCTATCCCCTGGGGGATATCTGCGTTGGCAGGACTATCTGGGAGGTCTTCACAGAGTACATGTGGGTAYTGCTGCTGCGGTAGCAGCCAGGCAGTCATAGCTGTCTTCTTCMTCGTCAGAGTGACTCATCGGCACTGGAGGCTACTTCGCTATTCATGATCTGCATCTGGGTGTATGGCGCTGGCCTCTGGGAGGCTATTTCTGYGCAGCGCTAGACTCTGAGAGTGTGGTAGTGAGTGGAGTGTGTGGTTCTGGAGTGGCGAGACACTGGGTGGAACTCTGTAACGATAATTGAGGTTACTGTGTTGAGTTGGCTCTTCGTCTGGGTYACTTTCCWATTGTGATCTTCGCAGTGTCAATTGTGATTGGTTGTTGGGAGTGTATCAGGGAGAGAGAAACACTGAGTGTATTCTCCCCTTCTGTGCATAATTGCTATTCCGCTGTTTATCTCTGATTTGTGTGCAGTTGGACCATGTCTCCTTCTCCCCCTTGTCTCATGCATGTATGGGCGTGTGTGAGTTCTTCTGAGTGAGAGTGGCACTTAAAGTGTCAGACAACCAAGTTCATAACACGTCTTGTGTGCTCGATCTGGCGTGTGAGAAGCTTGTGAATTGTGCCGTGCATGGTTGGTCCCAGTTCATTCTTGTAATATTGCACACGTGTACACTCAAAAAAGGCGAACACGTGCAGCAGATGTGTTATCCTTTTTACCAACCCTCTCACCAACCCTCTTACCAACCCTCTTACCAACCCTCTCACAAACCCTCTCACAAACCCTCTTTCCCTCACATCAGATGGGTTACCAACCCTCTTTACCAACCCTCTTTACCAACCCTCTTTACCAACCCTCTTCACCAAGCCTCTTTACCAACGCTCTTTACCAACCCTCTTTACCTGACATCAGATAGGTTATTGTATTGCCAACCCTCTTAGTAGGCTCTTACCAATCCTCGTACCAAACCTCCTTCCAACCTTCTTTCCAACCCTCTTACCAGCCCTTACCAAGCCTCTTTTTACCAAGCCTCTTTTTACCAACCCTCTTACCAACCCTTCTTACCAACCCTCTTCCTGTGACATCAGATCAGTTATTTTCTGAGTTATTGTCTTACGAACCCTCTTTACCTACCCTCTTTACCAACCCTCTTTACCAACCCTCTTTACCAACCCTCTTTACCTACCCTCTTTCCTGTCATCAGATGGGTTATCCTCTGACCAACCCTCTGACCAACCCTCTTTCCCTGACGTCAGATGGGTAGTCGTCTTACCAACCCTTTTTTCTGACATCGAATGGGTTATCGTCATACTAATCCTCTCTGCCAATCCTCGTTCCCTGAAATCAGATGGGTTATCCTCTTTACTAATTCTAGTACCGATCCTCTTGCCGGGTGTTTCCTCGTTGTTAGGTGCTATCAGTTTCATCACGACTATTTTTAACATGTGCGGCCCAGGAATGACCATGCATGCATAGATTACCTCTACGTTTGTTTGGTCTTGTGCTAATTACAGCTTTTCTGCTTTTATTGTCATTTCCAGTATTAGCAGGTGCTGTTACTATGTAATCTATGCATGGTCATTCCTGGGCCAGGCATGTTAAAAATAGTTGTAATGAAATTGATAGCACCTAATATTGAGGAAACACCCAATAAATGAAGACTAAAAATAGCTAAATCCGCAGCTCCTCCAGAATGCCTGGTTATATACCGCGTCAAGGTGGGTAGACGGTCCACGTGGTACCAGCACCTACTTCCACTCTACGCTGATCGATTTTTGGATGCGTGTATTGCCTTTGGAGTTGCAGGCTTTGAGTGAAGGCGTCAAGCTTAGAGTGCTGGAGAGAATGGTTCGTAGGGCGGTGAGAGCTATGGACGCCAGGATTGACGAGACAAAACTTCACTCCCTTTACAGACGGAAGGTGAGATTGGGATCTTTAAATTCAAAAAAGTTTTTTTGTTTTTTTTTCGGTTTTTAATACTTTTTATAACTATTTTTTAGTTGTTAATGAACTGTTTTCCTCTTGTCGCTCCGCGTTGGCTACACAAAATCTATGAACTGTTTTTTTTTTTTAACTCATTTGGCCCGCTTCGCGATGTCTGTATGGTTCCAATTTTACGAGACGTCCCTTAGGACAGCTTGTGTGATTTTTAATTTCAGTAAAATCATATATTAGTTCAGAGCAACTTCATTTTGGTATGTACTATACTAATATGCGTGCTATAAAATATATTACTATTTTATATATTACTATTTATGTGTACTAGGTGACCCCGTTGCGGCTTTGCCCGCAAAAACAGAAAACGAAAAAGCACAAAAGAAAGAAAAAGCATAAGGAACTGCCCTATCATATGCCTCTTCTTTCACAAAAACAAAAAGAAGAGCCTAAGAGCAGACAGAAATCCGCATGCAAGAAATGGGAGGGAATACCACCGAACCTGTTTTGTTTCTTTATCTGCAAGCGTTTTGTTTGGGAAGCCGATACCTTTGCAGCATCGTTTTTTTTTTGCACTGTGCAAGAACTGTGAACTTTTATGAGAAAATCCTGTCCGTTGTCCTGTTGACGTTTTTGCTAAAGATTCCAATTCAGACTTTTGTTTGCTATGTTCTCTGAATATGTTTGTGATAAAGCGATCTTGCATGTATTGCCCGTGCTTACTTGCCGAGTTTTGACTCCATGTGTGCAAGTGCATGCGCGTGTGGGTGAGTCTCAGTTTGGTCGGCTCCAAAATGTGTGCAAGTGCATGCGCGTGTGGGTGAGTCTCAGTTTGGTGGGCTCCGATGATGTCATTGATGATTGGCCCAGGGAAGTTGTTGGAAGTCGCCTCCAACTATAGGAGTGTGCCACTGATGTGAAGCAGGTTTCGCATTGTATGAATGAAACAATCAGCATTCCATCTGCTTGGCAGTTGCTCTTCGCGTGGGGGACTTGTCGGGAGTAGCGTTGACATGGGAGCCATAATGCCGGGCATTCATTTTGAAACATTCCTGGAAAGCAAAAGGCAAAGAAGAAACGAAGTAGCACGTGCCCCCTCCCTTCTCTCTCTCTCTCTCTCTCTCTCTCTCTCTCTCTCTCTCTCTCTCTCTC